ACACACACACACACACACACACAGATACCAAGAATCCTTAGTATATGCAGCAATATCTGCCTATCATTTATGAAGCAGCATTGAAGCGGCCGAAAAAACGCGTTGAGGGTCATCAGAGGGTTTAGTATTGTACGTTTCTTCTGTTCCAGCACTTGTTATCAGAGCCGGTCTGGTTCATTCTCTCATATCCCCCCGGACACATTCTTTCCCAGCATTCCAGGGGCCATGGTACTTTGTTCTATCACTGTAGCAACCACAATCACAGTAACACTGACGGAACAGGGGAGGAAAGAGAAGAGGACACTCATAATGCACCGAGAAAAGAGATAAAGGTTTTTGATTGGGCCAATAAGAAACCACTCAAATTATCCTGAAAATCCTAAGAAGTATGCAAGATTTGCATGCACTTTTTCTTCAAATATCCAGTATTGCAATGAAATACTGCTCTGAATTCCAATCCATCGATGCAACAACACATTTTCAAAGCACCAATTGCTACAATAAATGCTCCCACAAACAACAACACAACAGGCTTTGTGCGTTCTTGCGTTTTCTCCTTTCATGCCCTCGGCTCGACCCTCTCCCACGGCAGACAAGGCAAACCCAATCAAGCGCTCCTGAATGGACCGATTGTTGGAAGACTCGGGACAATTTAGAGCATACAAAAGATCCATGAGCAAGATTCATGTGGAATAAATATGCATTAGATGTGAGCCAGGCAGACTAGCAGGGAGCAAAGGTTTGCTGGGAGAGAAAAATGACAGGCAGGTGGGTGAGATTCAAAACTCTTTATTATCAGTAATAAAGATGAGATGATAAAAAAATTTTACTTAAACCTTAAATTGTTTAAATAACGTGCTATGTTTCTGTAACGTAATTTTTGCGAAGAATATATATATAATTGTTATAATTGTGTAAAAATACTATTAAATAAAGTAAAGAATATATTTGATTTTGAAATGTAATTTTTGGAAAAATATCATTGTGTAAAAAAGAAATAAACATTTAATATTTTATAATAAAATATAATAAAATGTGTGTGTGTGTATAAAATAAGTTTCAGGTAGTTTTTTGTAAACAATAATAATTTGAATTTGAATACACAAACATTTAATTGACACTTTTATTCAGCAGAAATTGATACATTTTGATTTGACACTTTTTTTTTTGTTTGGA